GCCACTGTGGGCGGCAGGGGGACCCCCGCAGCTAAGGGGGGGACCCCAACGCTCCCCGCCACCGTGGGAGGCAGGGGGGAATCCCCGCAGCTCTCCACCTCCCCAGGTGGCAGGAGGGACCCCCAGAGCTCCTGGCCTCCGTGGCGGCATGGGGAACCCCCAGAATTCGGAGCCACCAGCCAGGAGGACCCTGGAGCTCCCAGTCCACTCACAGCTGCCCAGGTTTCTTCATGAATTTTTCATTATTGCCCATGACCTGTCAGCGACTTTTACTAAAAATGTCCGTGATAAAATCTTAGCCTTAGTCATTGTTGATTGCATATATAACTTTCATGACTCCTTGTCTTTCTTTTCTATTTCAATCTAGGAAATTGACATACAAAAGCTTTGTTCACGTATTGTTACGGTTGTTACAGGCAATTCAGCAACAAGACATACTATTACACACATCACTAAGGCCTGGTCTATGCTAGGAAATTTGGTCAGTATAACTACATCGCTCAGGAGTATGAAAAATGCACATCCCTGAGTGATGCAATTAAACAGACCTAACCTCTGTGTAGACAATTCTCCCATTGACCTAGTTTACCACCTCTCAGGGAGGTGGAGTACTTATGCCACCAGGATAACCTCTCCAATCAGTGTTGGTAGCATCTTCACTGATGCGCTACAGCAGCACAACTGTTGCAGAGCAGTTGCTCTGCTGCAGTGTATTAAGTGTAGACAAGCCCTAATAGTCTAAACATTTAAAACCAAAGGAACTCACAAGGTAAAGGTTACATATGCAATCCTGACACCAACTTTAACACTCAGTTCTCATATACATCAAACAAACAAAAATCTCTTCCCTGACCAGCACCAAATCCCTGTACTTCTCTGTGCAATATTTAAAAGGCACACACAATATTAAGAAATATAACTTCTATTAATCAGAAGTGATTGATTGAATTGAAAATGTGAATTACAAACTATTGCGTGTATAACTGGTATTGTGCATGTATTTGTTCTGTATACTAAGTGTAATAGTTTGTTACAACACTGACAGTTGCAGTTTTCATCTGAAGAGCACTTTTATGCCCTGCATGGTGAATAGAATTGGGATATGTTCATATAGTTGCTTTGTGTCTCATGGTGTTTGTCTAGTTATGGGTATATGGATTTATTTTAATCAGTGGACAACATTATTTATAGGCCATTTGTTCAGTCATGAATTGTTAAAATGTCTGGTTGCGTATGATTGCATATGATTGAGCAAAAGCATAGACTTTATAAAACTTTGACATGATAAAATGAATGCATTTCACACAGTTATGAGAGAAAGCATATAAACCAATATTAACTCCCTCAAATAACTGTTAGGAATGTTTTCTCCAAGGGAAGAGTTACAGTTCTTTGGGTGCTGGTCAGTGCGACATTTTCTGTTAATGATGTGTTCACAAGCAACTGCATGTAAGATTATAAGAATTATGTAACATTAGCTTACAATTTCCTTAGCTTTTAATGTGCGGGCTCTTCTACTGGAATAATGATATGTTTTATTCTGATTTCCTTTTAGCAAATAAGTTCTTGAGTGGGAATATACCAGATGTAATGTGCCTTGGTATAAAAACCTAGTGTTCATTAAAAATCTTGTATCAGATAAAAGCCTGACTTCAGGAAAGCGGCGAACAAGAAATCTTGGAACAGGCACATATATCAGCAACAGCTGAAATGTGTGAAATATAGTAAAACACTGAATCACACACATTAAGATGGAAAAGACCTATTAGGTCACCTACTCCCATCATCTGCCAGTGCAGAATTGTTCCCTAGAGCACATGGTGAACTTCAGTTAAGAATGGAGGCTGCCAAAAGCCCTGTCAAGTCTGTTAATACTTGTCCAATAAGAAGGAAAACAAAATTAAAAAACTTACAAACGATCCAAGTCACAGAAGATTTACACAGTGCCAGGAAAACATGACTCTATCCCTATTGTGAATTCTGTAACTTGCTGTAGAACCAAAGTATTGCTTTTTAGTTTGGAGCACTTTTGTACTGTATGATCACAGCTAAAAGAGCAGACAAATCAGAATTATAAACCACAAGGGGAAGCTTTCCCTGTAAGAATGCTGTGGGAAATTGGCTTCAGATGGCAGCTATACGTGGAATATTTGTTGAAGCTTTATAGTTTCAAGATACTTGAAAGTGCTAAGTGCATATGTGTTCCTCCTAAATAGAGGCCTTTCACATATAAATCCAGCCCTAATTTGGTAAATCTTTATGCTTCTTGTGACTGAGGTCGTGTCTACATTAGGCTTTTAGCCACTAATATAGCTACACCTGTGTAGAAAAGTGCAGCTTACCCAGATTTGTACAAGGTAAGCAGAGAACAGAGAAAAATCTCCTGCTGGTGTCTTACTAAATTTGGTACTAGCTTGCAAACAAGCAAGGAAGGAACAGAAAGGAGGTATGAGGGATCACAGGCCTTGACCCCCAGATCCCCAGACAATGGTCAGACTGGGGTTGCCACCCAGCAGCTCACCTGAGCCAGTGGAAAAAGGGGGCTACCAAAGCTCTAGCTCACAAAAGGCCACATCCACAAAGCTCCTGATTGGGGGAGAAACCCAGCCTCATTGATTGGCTGAGATGCACTACTTAAGACCTGAAAGAGGCACAGGAAGTTGTCTGAGCAACTAGGTGAATCCCTGACTAGCTAGTGCTATGGACCCTGCTTACTTGCCTGATTCCCAGCCTGTTCCTGTCCATTCCTGCCCTCCTAATCCCAGACCTGGTCTGTTCCTGGTTCCTGCTTTCTTGCCTTGCTCCAGGTCCCTGATCCTATAACCTACACTGGATGCTGATTTCAGCTCTGACCCCTGGCTTGGTACCTGACTCTGTCTCCATCTCTGACCCTTGGATTGGCACCTGGGTCTGACCCCAGCTCTGGTTCCATGCTCCTGACTCTGACCATTAGGTCTGACCACCCATGCCTAGTCCCTAGAGGAAGGCTGCAGGACCTTGAGAGAGTCCATGACATCTGTTTACTGGTGAGGCATAGAGCCCCCAGGTGTTCATGGGATTATGTGACTGCCTATGACCACCATTGAGTTCATGGGTGCAAACAGTTGCATATCTTAAAAAATCAGTTAGACACATATTGCAATATGCATCTCAGTAAGTGAGAAGTGGGACTGAGCCCTGAATGAAGACAGGAATGAAGCTGTCTTTTGCTGTTAAATGAACACTTTTGTCCCTTGGTCATTTCTTTAGATACTAATGGTCAAAACTCATTCGGAGAGGGAAAGACAGCCTCTGGAGGTTGGAAGTGTTTCTTATGAGAAAATATCTGCAGTATTGTGCACTAATGGCCCCCCAAAAAACCTAGTGCGTAATTGTTCCTGTAAGCTGCAGTGTTTTGGATTATTAACATGCAATACCCTAGTATTTTCAGAAAGGTTCCTGGAGAAAAAATAAATCAATAATATTGTACCTTCAGCGAACGTTTATGCAGTGGAAACTTCACATACATTCACCACTAGAATTCAGACATTTACCATTACCAAACAACGGTAGCTGATATACTGCAGCTATTTCTAATCTTAAATATATAGAAATACTGAGGTCTTCAATAGCACTATATGGAAGCTGTTAAATGCTGAAATTTTTCAGTAGTGACTATATTGTAACCTCTTAATACTGCCCCATGAAAACCATTAGCGGCTCTAAGAACTCCTTATGAAACTGGTGAGGTCAGGACTTCTTCATCTTTTTGGCAAGCCTTTAAGAAGTATCCTCAACTGACACCTCACTGTAAACCAGCCAACATTTTACTTTTGTTGAAATTGCAAAGCAAGCACAACTTTCAAGAGAGAACTTTCAGGCATGATGCAATAAAGGCACTATAGACATCTGTGGACCTTATATTTTCTTCAGTGGCTGCCTATAGAGAGGTCGCTTTATTTTAAGAGAGAAGTTACTATGTTTTAAGGTAATCCAGTTTAGTTTTTGGACAGTGAGGGATCTGGCTATATTTGATCATTATTCATTAAGTCTTGCTCTGACAATTATGTGTGATTTGGCCCCAGCCATCTTCCAGGGGTTTTATCTTCACAAGCTAGAACAACAAGTAAACAAGCATTTGATATAGTAATCCTTTGGCTGTGGCACTCACTCCCTTTGGATACCCACCTCAGCCCAGCTGTCTCGAAGATTTTAAATTTCTTTTTATGCAGATACTGATTCTGCTCCCACTGAAGTCAATGTAAAAAAATACTCCCACCAATTATACTCATAGTAAACTCATAGTTTTAAAACAGCCTTTTAGACCCAAATATTGAGAAAAATCACAGAGTGAATGCACCACTCAGGTTCTACCAGGAGGCCTTACTTGGTGCATAGCCCTTGCGCGGCTATCAGTAGAGGGATGAACATCCCCCAAAGAAAACATAAATTCTAACATCACCATTGATGCACCATCATGATCTCAATGTGATCTCTAACATATGATTTCTATAACATTTGACCAAAAATTTGATAGTGTTAAATAGCATGCATCAGATTCTCATCTTGTGGCCAGGATACATCATAGATGGTCCGGTAGACCATGTGTACATAATATAGCAGGAGTCCAATAAACTCTTTGGATGATTTTACTTTATGGTACAGGTTTTAAATTCCCATGAGGGACTGGAACACCATTTCAAAGAGGCTAACATGTTTTGCATCCAAGCACACTACAATTTTTAAAAGCCATGTTGAATAACTGCTTGAATCTTACTAAAATGTAATGAGCTCACACTTGCTAAAATATAGCTTAACTTTAACCAGATTTAGCTGTAGCACTGAAAGAAAATTATCTATATTAATACAGATTTTACTCAAGGCACTTACAGGGAAGCACCTCTGAGACAGAATGGGACTCCCATAATATTTTGTTTTTCCACAAGATGGATCTTACAGCAGGCTAATCAGGCTTAACCACAAGTAATGGGTGCACAAGAGGAAGCCATTGTTGTACTTACCTTGGTTTAAGTGTCTGACACAGTCATTCAGCACTGCACTAAATTGTTTCTGAGCTTCTGGATCCTCGAAACAGTAGTAACTGTGTTTGAGGTAGGGCTGCCACAGGTAAACTGGAAACTCTTTTGGCAGGAGAACAAATGCCTGGGCATTTTCCTTCTCATTAGAAGCTAAATAAATACATACATACATACATACATAGAAATATCTGGTTTAAAACAAGTTTCTGGGCTTTTCTAGCCAGTTTAACAAACATTTTTACCTTGTGTTTAAAGCTATAGGAGAAATAAATCCATTAAGGTTCTCAAACAACATTTCTTCTTTATCATGGAGGTCTGGCCTAGGAAAAGTACAGGTCTCAGGATTAAATGGTCCATCTTGATCCAAGCAAATGATCATTCAGATCATGTTGCAGCATTGCATGCTTGGGACCTGCAATCTCTGCAGATGGTACTTCCATGTTACAGGGGCACATGTTTGTATTCAAGTTAGATAGAGCCCTCAGATGGGCAAAGTTTAAGCACCTTGGAGAATCATAATTTTTGATGGATTATAAAGGCTAGGCAGCAGGGCTTTCATGGTAAAAAAAATTAAGCATGGGGAATTTTCATTTCTTTCCCTACTGTCTCCTCTGTATAATGTATTGAGCAAATTATATTTAAGCAAAAAGAAAGAGTGTGCATTTCCTCACCCCCAGTTTTCCTTCCATTTAAACCCCGATGCACTGTCTTCGGAAAGCTCTGTGCAATTCTGTGCTCTTGGACAGATCAAAGAAGGTCCAAAGTCCCTTAAAACATCAGTTTATGTTTCTATCTGGACCACACACAGATATTGTAGAACTCCATTTATAGTTAAGTAGAATAAAAGTCATTGTATCTATGCTTTGCAGTGTGCAACGGGCAATTCCATTAACGGTCTCTTTAGAGACTTTGCTTGGAGTAAAGATGTTAAACTCACAAAGCCAGATCTTTGGCTGGCACAAAGGGGACAGAGCTGCCAGAAAAAGACAGCTAGGAAGTCGTTGTATAGGAGAGTCCCCAGATGCCCTAAAGCTGGTGTATGATTACTAGTATTATTTATTTGTATTAGCAGGTGTTCCAGGACCATGACAGGGCATGACTGACGCATGCTGTCCCTGGCAATCCTGGGCCAACAATCACAAGTTAGAGCAGCACTGAAAAGACTTAGAGGTCAGAAAGGCAATGGAAAGACACCTGTGTTCCTTATACCCCTCCTTAGCTGTTCCAAATCCACATCTGGCCCCTTAGATTTAGAGCTTTCTTCCTCTTCATGGGAGGAAAAATAATTGTGGTGTATAAGCTATACAAAGTAATGTGGAGCTATTATCTACAATTAACAACTTCCCTTCTATTTGTGTGTGGGACACCCAATGAAGTGCCTTTAAAGGGAGACAATTGACATCCAAGGATGGGATAAGTAAAATATAGAAGTGGTGTTTTCTAGTCTGCTTGTGGTTTTGCTTTGTGCAGTTCACAAAACTATTTTGTAGTGACAGCATGACAACAAGTATCCAGTACTTATTCATTAATTAATAGCATGTAGTATGTGGTCTTCTGGAATTATGTTTCGATAATGGAAAACATGGAGCATTCATCTTCTGTTACACTGCTTAAAACATAGCCTCGAGATCTAAAAAAAGGCTGTGGAAAAAGTGGTTGAGATTGGGCATTTCAGTTTTTGACAGTGCTTACCAACTGGGTCTGGAAAATGCTTATCAGACAGCAAATTGTAATCTTCTTCTGAGGTCAGTACTTTGCCTCCTGCAGGAAGAATACGATATTTAGGGCTGACTCCCTTCTGGTAAGCCTGGGGGAGGAGGGACATGAGAGAGAGAGAATCAAAATAAAGATTTAAAAAATGGTAGTCTCAGCCTATAACATGTCCTCAATTCATTTACATGGAACTAGTGCATAGATCCTCCCTAAAGACAGCAGTTTTGGTGGGCTAAATTCAGATCTATTTCCTGAAAGCATCAAATCTGAATAATGTTTAAGTGTAAAAAGGTCAGCAAAATGTGTACAAAAATGGCCCTCTGGTACTGCTTATCTGGTATTGTGCAACATTCAAGCTATATCTACTTAGTTTGATGGCTAAAACTAGTTTGGACATTGGCACTATTGCAGGGCCAACATTCCGGCTAAACAGAAAGCTGCATGGTGGTATATGGGAATCAACAGAAAAATTGCTAGTTAAATTCCAGTTCCAGAAACACTGGTTAGGTACTACAGTGATAGACCCCTTAGAAATGTTGATAGATGGATATATATGGGGAAGACAGAAGTGTTGTGAAGATTAATTGTAAATACTTGCAAAATGTTTGATAGATGAAAAGTGCTTAATGGATGTTGCACCTGCTTATCTGAGCACAGAATTTGATCCATTCATAATAAAACAGCATCTGCATTAGCCTAGAATCCACTCCTGTTCAGATTATCGACAAGTTTGGGAATATTGAGTTCAGTAATTTTTTTAAATCTAACAGAAAGAATGAGGTGCAACAGACCCAGTCATATGTTACCAACTCCACACGGAAGCAGTAACATGCGAGAGTGAAGCTTAGAGTGACCAGATAGCAAGTGTGAAAAATTGGGACAGAGGATGGGGGGGTAACACTATATAAGACAAAGCCCGAATATCGGGACAGTCCCTATAAAATTGGGACATCTGGTCACCCTAGACAAGCTTTACCTCTTTGCTCTCAAAGCTTTGCACTGCATAGTCGTTTCTGATCACAATATATCTCTCCTTCCATTTCTTCAGATCTTCAGCAAAATGCAACAACTCTGCTTCATACAAGATCATCCCAGATTCCACAGGGGGCTAAAAAGAAAGTGATCAGATTTGAAAGCATTTTGCACAAATACTGGCTATTCTGAAGGTTTTCCTTTCCAGAGGGCATATTAGCAAGGACCATTTGGGAGCTCTTTGGGCCTTCTCTTGAAATTCAGAGTAAGGATCATCTGTTTGAATCAAGTAGATGCAACCCAGGTGATTGAATTCATATGACTTCAGAGGGTTGGGCGCTAGTGGGCCTAATTCTCTCCAAACTTATTTCTAGATTTCTGTGGCAGAGGAGTTCTTATTAACCTTTCAGTTTTCATGGTGGTAATATTAGCAAGTTCATTAATAATCTTTTGTTTTAGATGTCAGTTCTGCAGCAGAGCTGGCCCATTGTTCCCAGGTGCTTCTCCATTACGTGTTAAAAGACTATTTTATTTTGGAGACTAACTTTATGATTGAAAGAATCAATTCTATGGGCATAAAATATTTCACGTTTCTTTCATTTATACTTTTTTTGGCTTTGCTGTCCCTATTACATATATATCTTTTCGAAGGGCAATGCTTGTGTTTGAGTGCTGGTTCTTTGCCTAGCCAACCAACATAAATAGTATAAACTATGAGGTTTCACATCTCTCAAGGCGAGGACTTGTGATTTCAGGCCAATTCTAGTGAAATGTTTAGGTTAGCACCTATCTCTCAATTATGGTCAACGTCTCTGAATTTCCTTCCCTTATCAAAACCGTACATACATGCTTCTTTAGATTATTCCATGAATTAGTTTGACAAGTGTTGGCCTTTCCTATGGAATCCTGCAGGCATGGTTTACAGATTTGGCTAACTCTCCCACAGAAACGTCCACCATAATTAAGGCTCAGATTTAGTCATGAGCAAGTCACAGGCAATAAACAAAAATTCACAGCCCCGTGACCTGGCCATGACTTGTACTATACCCCTGACTAAATTTTTGGTGTTCTGTGGAACTCCAGGGGCACAGCTGCGGCTCTGGAGGGGGGGCTCTGGGGCACCCGCTGGTGCTGGGAGGGGCCTCTGGGATGCCTGTTGGTGCTGGGCGGGGGCCTCCAGGGCACCCGCTAGTGCTGGGGGGAGAGACTCTGGGGCACCTGCTGGTGCTGGCGGGGAGGGTGTCCAGGATGCCTGTTGGTGCTGGGGGGGAGGGCCTCCGGAGCGCCCGCTGGTGCTGGGGGGAGGGGCTCCAGAGCACCTGCTGGTGCTGAGGGGAGAGACTCCGGGGTACCCACTGGTGCTGGGGGGGGGGCAGCATGGGACCTCCACTGCTGGCAGGGAACTGCCCCACCGGCCCAGGACTGCCACCGACGCTGCTGGCGGGGGGCAGCCTTGGAGCGCCATTGTTATGGGGGGTGGGGAGGAGTGCGGCTGGCCTTGGGGTCAGTCACACCTGCCAGCGGCAGAAGTCATGGAGATCACAGAAAGACATGGAATCCATGACTTCCGTGACAGACTCGCAGCCTTAACCATTACGTATCGACTTTATCCTGAGATACCTACAAAACTTTGCAAGTGATCAGAGCCCCACTATTCCTCCCCTCCACACCAAATCTGATCCCTGTTGAAACGTATGTTTCATATCAGTATTTTTCTTATTCCAAAATATTCTCTTCCCCAAAAAGGTAATACAAGTTACTTCATGTCTAAACCACAAAACAGAGCCAAATTTTCAAAAGGCCTCAAACACAGCAATTGAAATCACACTTATACACATCTTTAACATTTTTACCATGTGCAAAAAGAAAACAGTTCTGGCTGGGAGGCTAACTGCATCTGCACTTGCAAGTTTGTTACAGATCTATCCAATCATGCACACATCATAGCTTTAAACATACATGAGTTTAACTGTAAAAGAGATGCACTCAAGATGTTTTGTGTCCAAATTTATAGGCCATTAAAAAGATAGCCAAAAATATAAGTAAGGAAAATGGAAATACATTATTTATTTCTTATATATATGTCACAGTTAGTTGGCCCTGATTTTCAGAGGTCCTAAGTATCTGCTGTTCTCACTGACTTTAACTGGAGTTGCAGGTGTTCAGCACTTCTGAAATTCTGCCTCTTTTGGTTACAGATGTAATCTTGAGTTTCTGAGTGCATTTTGTGTATATTTAAGATAGTTATGCTAATAAGGTCTGGCTGTTTCTGTGCTAGCAGGGCAGAGCTATCAAGCAACATCATAGAACCTAGGATTCCTCCAAGATTTCCTCTTACCTTGGTTTTCAGGAATTGAGACTGGAAGTTTCGGTGCTGTTCCAGTTCATTTTGTATGTGCTTACAAAAAGCAACAGCATACTGGCGTTGGTAGTGTGGGCTGAAGTTTTTGATTACAGCCTGGGTTTTCCCTGAAACAGAACATATGAGAATAATTACATTTAATTTATATTCATTTTAGGAATAGCAGTACAAACCATATCAACATACTGTCTAACAGCAGCCAATGCTCATTGCTTCAGAGCAAGCCAGAAACCTATAATGTACTCAACTGTGTGATACTGTAAACACAATGGAAGTTTCTTCTTGATTCCAGTTGGTGAGCCATTTGTGCCCCAAATTGTTATTTTACACAATCTACTGCAAATGGTGTTCTTATTCATACACTATAGCTACCTAATCTTTTTCTTAAAACTTACTAAAATGTATTTCCCTATAAGATGCTATCTTACCATTCTCATGACATAGTGTCTCAGAACAGCCAATGTACCTTAGCAGGAAGATAAGGGTTTCAAGCCAAAAAAAAGATATTCACGAGATACTGGGGGATGTTCATGCAAATTAGCCAGCTTTGTCACATGTCACAGATTGTATTGCTGGCTCAGAAACCTTTCTCCAATCTCTTTAAAAAGGACACTTTCTAGGTTTAGCCATTGTGGTCTCTTCTCATAAACACGACACAGACACACTCTATGGGGAAATGTTTTTTTTAACAGATTTCAGTTACTTTTGGACTCCAGATATCATCAGCACTAATACTGCTACGTTGTACTTCTATAATCTCCTATATGAGAATCTCAAAGGTCTTTACAAATAATAAATGAAAATTCAACATTCCTGTGAGGGAAGAAAATAAGATTATCCTACTTCATAGACAAGGAAACTAAAACAGAAGTTAGATGATTTGCCCAAGGTGACTCAGTGGGCAGTTGAAGAACTGGGAACCTAGCACTCCTGTCTCTCAGTCTGCATGCTAGACAACAATGCCTCTTTAGAGATACTATGAAGGCTCAGTTACAAAGATATTTATTTGAGCTGGGTGAAGAAAGGTAACTAACTCCCTTTCGTGGAGGATTTTGATATTTTGAAATTTTGGTTTAGCTCCAATTTGGAACAAAATCCAATAATTTCAAGCTTCTCCATGAAAGGAAATAGAACCCTGGTTCTGGGGTAATTCACATGGCAGACTGCCCCAGAACCACAGACCCTAGGAGCTCTAGGGTCCCTGACTTCAAAAACAGTCCAGCAGGTGGGTTGGCTGGCAGAGTTCCAGCTCAGAACTTTTTCAAAATCAAACCATCTCCGCAAAAAGGTTTCAATTTTGACAAATTGGCAAATTCTGACATAAAAAAACTTTAATAGGAATTTTTCCTACCAGCTCCGCATTTTATAGAACTGGCCACAAGTCCATAGCAGATTGGATGTACTCTAAAGGTTTTGTCATATATGTTGTTACTGGAAATGTATAACCATACAAAACTTCATCCACCAGCCTCTATTTTAGTCTTGCTCTAGTTGGGAACAAAGTTTTTAAAAATGAATGCATTCCCCAGAATTTTTTCACTTAATTTTGATGTTTAAAATAATTCAAGATTTTTTTAAAATATATATTGGGTGAAAAAAAAATCTGTGTATTTTCCAGAGACAGAGTTAGGACATTTTGACATTTAAAAGTGTGAGATTTAATATTTTAGCACTTGTGAGTACTTTATTTCCTTCTGCAAATGAGACAGAACAACTTCTCTGCTGGGGGCTCAGGGCAAACTGCTGCTGCAAGGTGGGTGGAACTTGCAAAAGTGTTCAACACTATGGTCTGGTCTGCTCCCACTGAAGTCAATGGTAGTTCCACAGCAATGAAAGTGTAATTAAACTAGGGCATAGCACTTCTGAAAATCCTATCCACAACGACGTTTTGTTATTATAACATGACGCTTGGTATTGAGAGCTGACTTGAATTTAGCAGCCATCATCCAGTGAGCCCACCTTGACTTCCTTTCTAATCCTTCATGTATTTGTGGGCCAGCAGCTCTCTAGACTCAGAAGCCCATCTGAAAGGCTTTCCAGAGTAACTGGAAGTAATTCTGTCCTATATGCCTAGATCCAGTTAGGTTCTATGCAAGAATCAAGAAATTAAGGTAGTTCTTTCTCTCTCAGAGCATGTAAAGACATAACAAACCCCAAACACTCCTGCTCTGGCAATTTTATTTTCAGCTAGTTGCAAGTCACATAAAACTTCCTGCTAACGGGAGAGCAGGGGAAGCTATGAGAAAAAGAAGTTGCCATTAAGCAGGCTTTGGTGAGTCTACTCTATAAAGTGAGAATGGCACAAATGGCACCTTCTTACTCATATCTTCTCCCTGCATGTACCGAGAGCCATATCTGCTGACTTTAAATAAAATTTTTACTCCTGTTCACCCTGCAGAACCAGCTCAGCTAAGCGTGAGCTGGATTCCATTCCTACTTGGGCATCAATAGCACTGCAGAGTAAATTCCAACTGAAGGACTCGATTCTGCTCTCATTTTATACCTCTACAACCACACAGAAGACAGTTACAGCTCCACAATTCCACTGAAAACAACCGCGTCACAGGTGCACAATTCCTCTGCATAGAGTGAAGCCGCAGAGGTAGCCTGTGAGATCATTATTGTTGAGGATGGTCATATGAGCAGGAAAGATCCAGCTGGACTCTCAGATCCCAGGTTGAGTTAAATTTTCAGATCTGTCAGTTAGACAGTCTTTTCACTAGGAAATTGAGCCTGGGTGTTCTTTGGTCCGACAGTCTCAAAGGGCCCAGTCTTGTGGGCTCCATTGACCTCAAAGGGAGTTAAGGGCACTCAGCAACCTTGCAGGATATCCCCTATGGCTCCCAGACAAAAGATTACATAAAAGAGTTACCCCAAAGTGGTCAGTAAGACAGTTTTCAGAATCATCTATATAGAACTAAAAAGGTCTTTCACACAGGAGACCTCCAGGACAGCAGAAGGTGCTGACTGTCAAGAGTCTGCATTTTATAGGGCCCCAGACTCTACCCCTTCCCAGTATGCTTTGCAAAAAGAAGATTGACAGGTAGGCATCATTTTTCCCACTCTGTCAATGAAACATAGCTGTTTTTCACTGACAAGCCTCCCAGGGCCTGCTTCATAGTCTTTTTCCTGAAACTGGACCATCTTAGCCTAGTTACACTGGCATGAAAGGGGAGCCCTGACCCACCTAGACTGGAGGCCTAACAAACAAATAGAGGAATAAGCCCTGCTTGTTAAAAACTTATTTTTTTTCTTCTCTGAGACGCCAAACTTCCAATGTCAAGTTGCTCTGTCACACAGGGTCTAAGATACTGGACCTTAAATCCACCAGTCTGCATCTTGGACTAGTAGTTTTTTCAGGGGGAGGGAGGAAAGTAAGCAGGGGTGCTGAAACAATTTGTATAGTGGGGGTGCTGAGAGCCATTGAATCAAACTGTAAACCCTGTATATGATGGAAACCACTTCAAGCTAGGGGGTGAAGCAGCACCCCCAGCACCCCTAGTTCCAGCACTTATGAAAGTAAGGGAATAAATTCTACCTCTGGGGAGAAAATAATAAATCTCCCTCCAACAGGCTGTGTTTGGGAGAACTTTTCAACAGTGACTGAAGTGGCTCAGAGGTTTGGTGTATACAAAGCAGAGAGAAATTAGTAGGCCAGGTGCATGTGAGGTAGCCAAAGATCTAGGATTAATTCAATTTATCATATGAAGATTATGTCATATATTTCTTCTATGTCTGTGATATGTATGAGGCATGATATAATCAACTGCAACATTAACCAATGAGCAATTACCATATTTCTATTGTGTTTATTTCAACTCCTGCACCACCTGTTGTATGTTATCATTATGCTAGAATAAACTCCTCATAATAAGAAAAGAGAAGACAATGTGTCATTCAAGTGTCATTCAGAATCTCAAACTAAATTAAAACTTGATCCTGCACCACTCAAATGAATGGGAGTCTTGACACGAGCTTCAGTGGGAGTAGGAGTATGCCCCTGATGTACTGTTCATGTAAACTTTTTTAGTTTGTTCACGACAAGACTGTGTTATCTGAAAATATAAATGATTGAAATACAAGTAAAGGGTAACCCTTCCTATGAAATGATACTGTGGTATAAATACAGATCAAACCACTTTGTTTTCTCAGCCTTATCAGAACACTTAAGGAACGAGTTCCCCAAGTTCTTTCCCAAATTTAGTGCTTCTTTCTTTTTTGGAGTTGTTTATATCAAGCAGAGCCAAGTTTCCCACTTGGTTTGTTTGGCTACACTGCAACACCCGCCTTTACAAATGAAATGTGTTTTGAAACCTAACTCTTCTAGAATAATGTTTATCCTAACAGAATGTGATATGGAAGACTAATCAATGGAAGACTAATCAAAGCTGAATTTACAAACAAGAACAAAAGTCAGCCATGGAGGTTGAGGGATTTTCTACACAATTTGGATGACAATACTCTGCACTGATGGATGTTTTTCCTTCACTGAAGATTTACATTATGGAGAATAAACTCTGCTAAGGTTGCACAAGTCTTCAGGATTCACTTCACAAAAGAAAGCCTGCATTGCTCTTTTGTGTTGCAAAGCCTTAAAGGCAAACAACAATATATCTTTAAGAACAAGAACAAATGCCATTGTATTAGAAACATACACTGGTGATCCCTTCGAGGCAGGGAGGGATCTAGAATTCCCAACTAATGAAAGGTGGTTTCTTTTCTTTCTGAAATACGCTCTTTTAAATTTCTTACATCTGCAGTTTGTTATTCTCAGTGGAGCAGATTATGGGTTCTTGGAATTTTTTTTAATCCAAACCCTTCTTTTTCTTTCCATCCATCATCAGCTAATTGGTTTGGATTTCAGAATCCAACAAGAGAATAAGAACCATCAAAATCCAGGAAGTTGGAATGGAGGCTGAAGAGTTCTCCTTTGTGTTATCAAAAAGAACAGGAGTACACCTCTACCCCGATATAACGTGACCCGATATAACACGAATTCGGATATAACGTGGAAAAGCAGCGCTCCGGGGGTGCAGGGCTGCGCACTCTGGTGGATCAAAGCAAGTTCACTATAATGCGGTTTCACCTATAACGCGGTAAGATTTTT